ACGCCGGGGCTCCGGCAAGTAGTGAGTTGCAGTAGTCCAGGCGGGAGATGACAAGAGCCTGGATGAGCACCTGCGCCGTCTCGTCAGTGAGGAAGGGGTGAATCCTCCTGATGTTGTAGAGCAGGAATCTGCAGGAGCGTGTAACCGATGCAATGTTTGCTGAGAATGACAGTTGGTCATCCAGGGTCACACCCAGGTTCCTCGCAGTCCGAGTTGGCGTCACCACGGTATCGTCAATGGTGATGGACAGGTCTTGGTGCAGGCAACCCTTCCCTGGGAGGAACAGTAGCTCGGTTTTGTCCAGGTTGAGTTTGAGGTGGTGTGTCGTCATCCACTTCGAGATGTTACTACTAGTGTTCAGGTTACTAGTGTTCACTATCCAGTGGTCACTATCCAGTGGTCACTATCCAGTGGTCACTATTCAGTGTTTACTATCTACTGTTCACTTTCCAGTGTTCACTTTCTATTGTTCCGTGTCCAGCAGTGAGAGGGAAGTTGTACAGAATGGTGTCCACTACTGAGGTGTTTGGTGGCACCAGTTTCTGTCTGGTCAAGGTCTCAGTGGTCCAGGTCTCAGTGTTCCAGGTCCGGTCTGTAGTCCAGAATGATGATGCGAGACCTCTGATCTCTTCCTTCCTCTCTGCAGCCTCGTGTGCGTCTGTCCACTGGTCCCCAACAGAAACACAGAACCTTCTATGAGTTCCGCACCTACAGCATCCGTCCAGACCAGTACGCTGCCTTCCTCAAACTGACCAATGAGGAGATCCACCTGCGCACCGCCCACTCTGAGCTGATTGGCTACTGGAGCATTGAGTACGGTGGCCTGAACAAGGTCTTCCATATATGGAAGTATGGTGAGAACCCTCTTCTTCTTCTTCTGTTTACAGGTTGTTCTTCATCACAAGGTTTTAAAAGTGTACCTAACCACCTCCTCCTCCATCTTCTGCCTCCTCTTCCTTTCTCTTCCTCTTCCTTCTCGTCTTCCCCCTTCCTCCTCCTCCACTACCTCCTCCCCTTTCTCATTCTTCTTCCTCCTCCTCTTTCTCTCTCTTCTTCCTCTTCTACCTCTTCCTCCTCCTCCTCCTCAGACAGTTATTCTCAGCGGGCAGGTGTTCGGGCAGCTCTCTCTCAGGACCCCTCCTGGATCTCTGAGTATGTCTCTAAGGCGATACCGATGTTGATGTCTCAGGAGAACGAGGTGAACTACCTGGTTCCCTGGAGTCACCTGCAGGACCCCCCCCAGGAGGGCGGTAAGCCCCGCCCCCTCACTGTGACGCCCTAATGACAGCTGTAATGACATCACTTCCTCGTCATGACACCAGGTGTGTTTCAGGTGTGTACGAGCTGGTTTCCTTCCAGATGCGTCCCGGTGGTCCGGCGGTTTGGGGAAACGCCTTCCAGGCTGCCGTCACTTCCCATGATGCACCTGGGTACGGCAAGCTGGTGGGAGCGTTTAACAGCGAGTGTGGAATGCTGAACAGAGGTACACTGTAAAAGATGTACATTACATTACAGTCATGTAGCAGACGCTTTTATCCAAAGCGACTTACAATAAGTGTATTCAACATCAGTATTCAAGAGAACTACTAGTCACCAGAAGTCATAAGTGCATCTCCTTTAAACAAGCATCTAAGAGCATAAACCAGAGCAGAAGTACAGAAACAAACTAGTATGAATACAGTAAGTGGTGAGAGGAAGGCTCAGGGTAGTACTTCTTGAAGAGGTGAGTCTTCAGCCTGATGAAAGATGGGCAGCGACTCCGCTGTCCTGACGTCAGTGGGGAGTTCATTCCACCACTGTGGGGCCAGGACAGAAAACATCCGTGACCGGGTCGATCGGCCGCAGGGACCTCTGAGCGACGGGGCAACCGATCTCCCCGAGGCAGCAGAGCGAAGTGGTCGGGCGGGGGTATAGGGCTTGACCATGGCCTGGAGATAGGAAGGAGCTGTTCCTTTCACTGCCCTGTAGGCTAGCACCAGAGTCTTAAACTGGATGCGAGCTCTTACAGGTAGCCAGTGTAGAGAACGGAGAAGGGAAGTTGTGTGGGAGAACTTGGGGCGATTGAACACCAGGCGAGCTGCAGCTTTCTGGACAAGCTCCAGAGGTCTGATGGCC